ACCCAAAAAACGAGAAAAAAAAAGAATTAAACACAAATATTTAAGTAACATAAAACCAATAAAAGTAATGACAGAACCCAATGAAGAAACAATTTGAGACAATGAATAATAATCAAGATAATCTAGAGCTTTAAAAGGTATACCTTGTACCAATAAAATGTATAGGGAAAGAATTCATTTTAGTATCAATAAAAGTAGCAACTAGTATTATACCGTAAACTAAATATTTAATTAATCACAAATTGATTCACAAAAAATACCGTAAACAGCATCAAAACTTGAAGTAATATGAAAATGAGTTATAATATTAAGTATCATGCAAAATTATATCCAAGCTAGCAACACCCAGAATAATCCAACAGTAAAAAAGAAAAACAAAATTATAAATTTTGCATCATAAAAGTTAATCAGAACCAAAAAAAGATATTCAATCAATTAAAAACCTTAACAGCTCTAGGAAGAGTAATAATCACTAAAAATAAGTACGAGTATCAACACCCAATTCAACAACACAGATATGATAACATGAAATAGAAATGCTCAATTCAAATAGAGGTAAATGTCATACTAGTTTGGCTAAATAAAAAGGATCCTTATCAGTTCAAAACAAAACAACCTCACTAGTAAAACCAAAAAGAAACAAAATAATCACACAAGCTTCCAGATCGTCAAAAAAAAAATCATGGTAAAGTAAGAAAAGATTATCCGTTCTTAGTCCTATTAAAAGAAAAAAGATCCAGTAGCCAAAACGGGTATAGATAACAAATGATAAAAATGAAGTTATCAGAAGTTCATTGAGACATGCTAACCTAATCTAAACGTTACAACAATTAGATCGTATATTTCGACTAATTACTGTAAAAATTAGTTAAACCTTACAATGAATCAATACCAGTAGTGTGTAAACCTAAAATTAGACAACTCCGATTAACCTTTACTGTTGAAGGTAGATAAAATGTCCAGCTACTACCATAATTAGTTGTGTCAATTAATCTCACTCCATTTTAACATACAAATTTAGTACGTTTATATTTTGCATCACTGCTATGTAACGTTGTTCATTATTTGTGTATGACGATTTCTTTTCCATTCCTTTATTATACTTTAATCGGCAAGTAAGCCGAAATTATGTAAAATAATATGTAATCTCATAAAAAGGAACGGAATAACAGACGCATTTACAAAACAAAGGAAAACTTCAATTTAAATTTTCAGCGAAGAAAATGAGCGAAGAGAAATTTATATTTTAATCTACAAAAAAAAAAAAAAAGAAAAGATAAAATATCGTTGCTCTGTTTTCTATGTGAATATTAATTAATCCCTTCATCCTTCCAAATTTGCACTTAAGAAACCAATGAGGATGAAACTATACCTTTCATTTTAGATCCTTCCACTCCCTGTTTCTTTGAAAATAATTTAACCTAAAACCTTTAAGCTTACTATCTAACTCATAAATGCAATATTACTAAGCATTCTCCTGTACTGAAATGAAATTCATACTGAATACTGTAAGCAGGAATAGGAAGTCCATGGCTATAGTTTCATAATGAACTAATCCTAGCGATGAAATTACTAACATAAACCGGGCAAAATGAGCCTATTTCCCGACTACATTTCCACATTCAGAAATTTATTGAAAGTATTTGCCGTCATAAAATCGTAAAATTGTTAATATTTTCATAATATAAGTAGTCATAAGTATGGCTTTATTTTTTTCTTTCAGACAAACTTCCCAGTTCCTATGCATTCCTCAATTATCTAATTTTATTAGAATAGAAATTAATTGAATAATTTATCTACTCAACAAGCCAATCGCAGCAAAACCTCTAGAACTGAATTGCATACCAAACGAAGAAACTAACTACAGAGAAGAAAGAAGTGCCTGGATGAAATCGGGCATGAGAGATTGGCTGATATATTAGGAGAAGGGGCAGTTATTGCACAGTAGTAGTGGTTGCCATCCAATGGTTCTCTAGCACATCGTTGAATTTATAGAAAGATACCGAGCATTGTAGCATAAGTCTAGGCCAATGACCAATGAAATGGAAAAATTGATTGTTGATTATGTAAACTACGTTAGATCTACAGATTTGCGACATTCTCTAATGTAGAAAACACTATCAGTCAACTACTGATCAACTAATAAACTAGTGGAAATTCAGAAATTTCAAAGGGAGTTAGATTGAAAGTGAAATTATAAATGCAAATATAAAATATAATAGGACATTGAAGAGGTTAGCATTCTCATTGAGAAAGAAAAATGCTCAAATTTTGATGAAATTCCAACTGAAGCTTTTCAAATCCGTGAGATTTTATCGTTATTTAATTGTTGCGTTCGAGAAGCTGTAGGAATAGGCCTGGTCCTTACTAAATCCCTCATAGATTTCCAGGAATTATTGGTTTGGTCTGTGACGATAGTTCGAGGAGTTGAAAATGTATGTTGTCAAACAATGCACATGAAGCACAGCCCAAATAAGAATTAACACAATCGAAATTTGACAGTAAGGATAAACAATATTAGATCATTTTCCTCATCCTTTATTTTCTCTCATTCTATATTTATCCAGCCACTTTCATCTTTTGTGGTAAAAATTTGGTTGAGAATAAGTAGAGTTTGTTGCCGCTTTAGCCTTATCAGAAAAACTGCATCATATATATTCTTCACATTCACGGAATTCTCTGATTGCTGCACGCCGTATCTGAAATTTTTGTTCATATTATATGGTTTGCAAAATAAAATCTTGCATCAAACAGATCACTTTTTGACTCAAGATTTTGTTTTTACAGTTGCATGCAGATCAATTATGCATGGAACTGCAAAAGAAGGAAATTGAATTACTTTATTAATAACTACAAGTCAAGTCGAATTTTATAATAAAATATTTTCTTAAATCTACAAAGGATCAAAATTATATATATATATATATATATATATATATATATATATATATATATATATATATATATATATATATATATAGTA